AAATACATCTAACAACATATATTTCTACTCCTCTTCATTCTTGGAATGTCGCCGCACATCAGTGTACGAGAAGATAAACTTCATATAACAACCTATACTGAAAACCTTGTCTAACTGTGCAAATAGCCTACATTATTCTACAATTTGTATAAGAGAAACCAAGCGTGGGTTGTTCATACAGTATTGCAAAATAATGGTATAGCTATTATATTTTTAATACGTTGTTTAATGTGATGTTTGAAAAACTTATTAGTTGGCTATTGTCTAGTTTTTTTCAATATAAATTGGATGTCTATGAATACTCACGAGAGTGTGATAATGAGCTCACTTCATCTTATTTATTGTCAAAAATAGATATAGTAGTTAGACAATATATTTAAACACTATTCGTGTTTAATCTTCTTATAACTCATATAGTAGTTTCAGTTCGTTTAGTGTAGTAGTGACTTCGTTTGCGTGGCCTTGATTGAAAAGAAACCTAAGCTAAGGAAAAATCCTTACCAATTTTTATAATATTAATAAGTAAGGCTACTAAAGCGAGAAAGTGAAATAAACAAATTTACTTTCGAATTACAAACACTAATTATGTTTTTTTAGAACTTTTCTAATGCTGTACAGCAGCCGCAGCTGGCCTTTGCAACTTCAACGAACGATAGGTAGCGAGTGCAGATGGCACTTTAATCCCGAGGAAGTGCTTACGGAGCTGCTGAAGCCCAACTTCTTCCTGACCTATACGACTTTAGTCTGAGGGCACCGCTAGGGATTCGAACCTCGGCTGAGGGTATTATAATTTCGATCCTCGTTTGAATTGGACGGGTGATTGATCGCAAGGGCTATACTTAGGGTTAAGTCGTGTAAACATACTTTGTACATTAATATTTGGTATACTATTATTACTGCCTACCTCAATGGATATCTGGCGTTATATAGTCATAAATTAAAGTTTAGTGTTTTCTGAAATTTCCATGACATTATAATGTTTGTTCTGATAGTGAGCGACTACAGTGATAAGATAGTACGTTCAACGCTGCAGATAATAGATATTAATCAATGTCACCACCTCATTCTCTGAAGTTAGCATAATGTGTTTTTATACAATTTGAAATGGCAATTGGGAAACTATCTGTTGGAGCACTTGATACCAGAGGTAGTCTTTATACAAATTCATCTGCGTAGGTCTCTGTCATTTCAATCAGCTCGAAATATTTTTTATGGAAGGTTTGGGCTATTGTCAGCTGCTTGGACCTGCAGCACTGCGACCTATATAGATCTATTGTGCTCGCCCTTTTTCAGAGTTCACTAGCTAGGGACAAGAATTGAAGGATATTCTTTGGAGTGATGGTTTTTATCTTCTCAGGATAGAGGTAAACTTTCCAAAAGAGATATAGTTTATGCATGGGTGAGCTACAACCACATAGAATGTGTATTACCGTTTCGTCTTCAGTTGGCAAAATCTGCAGATTAGGCGCGAAATAGGTGAGAGCTGTTTCGGTTTTGGGGGAGGGAGGGGGACGGGGAGAAATGTTAATGAAATTAATTAAAAATAACTGTAATTTCATTAACATTTCTTCATCATTACCTATCTTCTTCTTTGAATTTACAAATGATCTGTATTTTTGTAAACATGTACAAGCTTGTTTGAAAAGAATAAAAGCTGAGTTTCTTGTCAGTTCTTGGTAGCTCGAAAGCACTCCGAACTTATGGTAGATTTGACATATCATAAGAGTCTGTAAAAGACCGACATGAATAAAGATATTACGATTTGATTTAACGGGAGAGCCTACTGTTGTCTGATTAATCTGGTTTTGTTATCGTACCTCCATTATTGGAGAGCTAGTGAGAAATAAAAATTAACACACAAAGTTCCGTATTTGTTCAATACACCAGGTCTTGGGGTAGCATAAAAACAAACCATTAAAACATGACGCTCACTAGAATTTTATTTCTGAAAGTCAATTCATTTACAAAAGAAGAAGATATTTGAGAGACGCGGTTGTTTAGAGGTCTAGCCCATTTACTTCTGATGGTCGCGGGTTCGATTCCTCGCACGGCACAAACATTTTGTAGTCATGAACATGACTGTCTTTATCGGTCTTGATGTTTTCTATGTATTTATGCATTTACGAGAAAAACCATTTATATCAGATGTCTAGTGACCATAACACTAGCTCTCCTTCATTTGGGACTAGATGGCGCCACGTGAATTGTCCTGAGATATTATTATTACTATTTCGGTTACGGTAGTTATTAATATTTATATAATACTATACGTATTATATAATTGCCGGCGCTGTTAGATTGCGACTAGATGGCGCTGTATGATGTTCAACATCACACAGCGCCATCTAATCGCACCGCATCCATGTTATTTCCTTTTTATATATAATTGCAATGGTAAACAAATTGGTTTATCTGATGGTTAGTGGTAACGGTTGCCTTTATACATGAATAGCACTATAGTAACACTGTAGTCTACCCACATGAAGTCATACATTTAAATATATAATAAGTCAGTACAATGAATTTATCTTTTCTAGAAATCGATGACATTTAAACCGGAAAACCAGTGATTAGTCAGTTGTTTACACATTAATTTCATAACTTTAAATAAATAAAATCTTATCTATCTTTATTTTATCTTCGTACTCTGTCATTTCACAAACTTCCTTACAACCCGGAACGAAGCTTACAAATCAATCTTCGCGGCACTGACAAATGAGACAGAAATATTCAAGCAAACGACTTTGAATAAACTCTACCTACTACGTTTAATATATATTTTATCTATACTATTGTATTTATTATAAAACAAACTGTAATAATAAAAACTACTTACTGAATGAATTTTCAGACAATTTCCAATTATCAACAGAATGAGGTTTAGGCGAAGCAGGACAAGAAAATATGTTAAAACGTAGGTATAATATTAAAACAAAAATTTTAAAAGTACTTTCATACTTATTTATCTATCTTCTTATCTATGCTTTCGTCTGTACCACCTATAGCAAAAATATGTTCATTTTATTATGTGAAGATAAAGGCTATATACTCGTAATACAAGGCTAGTCGAGTTAATAGCAAAACGAGTACATAGGTAAATAAATACTCGGCTGATTAGTCAGAATACGACTGTAATTGCTGAGTAAAATTTCACATATATGTATGTCGAACTAGCTGTGCCCGCGACTTCGTCCGCGTGTTATAGTACCAAATAAAGAAAAAATATTCAATAATCTAACCCAAAAAAACGAAAGAAAAAAGTTACATAAATCTACCTTCAAAAATGACGATTTTCCGTACAAACTATTATCCCCTATTTTATTTTACCCTCTTAAGGGATCAATAGCCTAAAAAATAGTTTCAAGCTCCTAACCTTAAAAATGATGATACTTCCATACAAACTTTTATCTACTTTTTCAACCTCTTACAACCCTTTATTCGGGGGGGGGAAGGGGATTGTTAGTAATGTGGACTAATGATCCCATTGTTAGCAATGTACCATATCAGATCGACCTCCACGCGGTTCCCCCTGGAAACCATCGTGATAAATTCCCGGTGAATTTGTCACGTTGGGCTAACTGATCTGACTTCATGTTCATCTTATCATCCTCCACTGGTGCCTCGCCAACGTAAACCGCTAGCGCAGGCAAAAGCACCATTCCATTATCATCCTTTAAAAAAAAAATCCTTTATTCGCATTAAAAATAGCCTATGTCCAAATTTCATTTAAATCGGTTTAGTAGTGTTGGCGTGAAAGCGAGACAGACAGACAGACACAGTTACTTTCGCATTTATAATATTAGAAAGGATGAATAAACAATGTCCCTTATCTTAGTTTGACGTAATTCGAAAACACTAAATGAATTATTATTTAGAGCTTGTGGTGGCGGGGAAAGATTTATATATTTATCAAAATTACCACTCCTAATGAATTTCAGAAGGTTAAGGTCCATTTAGGGTGACTTAATTATTAATTTAATTTGGATCCACCTATGTACAGGGCACGACTCTGTGACTCAGGCAAGGTTACTCGAACCACGTACCACTAGGTCACCACAGGCCTGCCTACGCAGGTGGGGAGAGCTTATGAAGAATTTCCACACGATAAGAAAAGGGTCTACACCTTAGACTTGAGGAGTCACAACGCAGAAGGAGTATCACCAGTGCCATATGTTGATGTGATATGCGTTGTCTTGTTTACAAATAGCAATGGTTGTCACTTTCCATTACCTTGTTTGCATTTCTAATTACGTAACAATAACATATACATGATTCAAGCATCAAACAAGTATTATATATTTTTAATGGTTGGTTTACACGGCTGCGCTAACAGTGTGGCACTTGTTACTTAAAATAATACATCAATATTAAAAATAATGTAATGTGATCAAGGGTGGGCTTATCTCTAAACGACAAAAGCCTACCTTTTATAAAACATATAAGCATGAGGTCAAATCTGTTATTAAATAGTGACAAATTCACTAGGAATTTATTACGATGGTTTGACATAGTACATTGTTAGCAATGGGCTCATTAGTCTACATTACTAACAATTTCCTTCCAAAAATACGTTTCTTCTCCTTATTCGATACGCTCTTGACAGAACGGTCGTGGTCCTTATGTAATGGAGTGAGATGCAGATTTCACCCGTCTTACGACAGCTCGCCATTTCTCCTTACTGGCTGCCATTCTGGTACACTTGTGGAGTGGACTGCCTACCGCTGCTTTGACTTGGTCGGTTCATCGCATGAGTGATCGTCCACGGGGTCTAGTACTGTCAACCCTATCCTGCATGGCAAGCCGCTCTATTAGTCATAGAGCTGTCGTTTCTACGCAAGACGTGACTAAAGAAGGTAAGGATGCGCGATTGTGTTAATGTAGATAAAATAGAAATAAGAATATACGTTTGGTTCTAGCTAAAATCGAATGAAATATCAATGTGTCTGCATTATGGAAAACACGACGCGGTAAACAATCGTTATCAGAGCGAGCATTATCTCGCGATAGACGTATATTGTGGATAGAAATTTTCGATTACAATGTGCCTGAAAGTGTTGAGAAGTGCTTGCCACTGTTCATTGTTTACAAAATGGCCTCTCCAGCGACAATGAAGTTTACAAAGACGGAAGCTGAGTATAATATGAAATCTATTAGATTTCTATTATTGACCATAACCACAATGTTCATTGTAAGTACCAATACATTAAGTGATTGTAGTATGTAACTTGTGTTTTTATTATCTGTGCCAAACTAGCTGCTACCAGTGTCCTTGTCTGCTTTTTTTGAGATAGAAGGTTAAGATACCTTCTATCTCAAAAAAAGCAGTACATTCTCAAGATACAATTTATCTCCACGTAAAATTAAGATCTGTCTAGTATTGAATAGGTAACAAATAGACAGACAGATAGTTGGATTTATAATATTATTACTTGGAAACTCTACCCTGAGGCTAAGGTTAAATAATATTGCGACTATAAATTGAGATGTAAAATTGCACACAATATGCAAATAAAATTTGCAATCGGTTCCGTAGTTTAGGAGTCCATTACGGACAAACAACGTGACACGTAATTTTTATATACATATATACACATATAAAGATTATGGATATATTTTTATTATAGCTATGAATTATTTTTTGTAATCTATCACGTATGCTACTGCCATTACATAGGTATAATTCGACGCAATTTTTAACAGACACTCAGAAGTAAATTTAATATAAAAAAAGAATGTCTTTATGACTGTTACACCGATTGCGTAGTCAGGGAGTTTATTTATCGGCGTTAATGTGAACACTTAGCACATCAAACGTATATAGAATCCAACGTGGCAGGGGCGATCCTACCGCTATCTTTCGGATTCTTTGCTTAGTTATCGGTGTTTCCATCACTGGAGAGTTAGTTAGAAATATATATTTTTGTGTAGACTGGATCTGAACTATCGACCCTAGCTATCCAGGTCGTGTAGTAAACTACTAGGGCACGACGTATTCTGAAGTAAATGCCTATTGATCAATATGAATAAACATAAGGATTCTTAATTAGATACCTAATAATATTTTGTATAGTCTTTACCCCATCTGTACCGTATTTAGTATTGTAGATATTTATTTGCGTGTCTAATCGAGTGTTTACCGTCATGTGCTATTTTGGATAAAAATTATTACGATTAGATATACCGAACATCTCTTTTGTCGAGCAGGGTGATAAAGTAAATCATCGTTTTAGTTTGCTCATACAACAGATATAATAAATGCCGAAGTGCCTGTCTATCTATTTGTTAACATTTTATTGGATCTTAATATTATAGATAGTATCAGAAAGAAAAACATAGACTTTAATTTATTTTAAAAATTTCGGAGGAAGTGGCGGGAATCAGCTTTTATTATATACTAGCTGTGCCCGTGGTTTCACCCGCGTGAAATTTATATCCTATATGTTATTCTGATATAAGCTATATTACTGTAAAGTTTCATCAAAATCCGTTCAGTAGTTTATGCGTGAAAAAGTAACAAACATCCATCCATACTAACAAACTTTGGAGTTTATAATATTAATAAGATATTCTATGACTCTACCTATTATTTCTAATTTCGCAATATGTTTAGGTATCCTTTCGCCTTATTTCTATCACACTTCTTAATATGGACTTAATATTTTTATCTACGCAGTGCCAAAAATAATCATTAATCTGTTTTAAATAATGATAAGTTTTTACAGCATACAAACAAAAACTCCACACAACTTTTTTTTTATTTTATGTTTATTATCTATAATACAAACATTTAGGTAGGTACAAGTATTAAAATGACGAAATACCTACTATCACATATCTCCAAATGTTTATTTCTCAAAGATCTGTTGTAAAGCTTGTTTTGACTTGACCCATGCCGCAATGAAACTAATTTTTGGAACTTTGGAGAGTGATGGCTACCGGGTACAATCGAAGGTCCGGGAAGGGTTTCGTAAGAAAACTTAGATACAATGTTAAAAAAAATCTTCAAAATGGTCATATAAGCACCTCACTAAATGGAATAGATACACTTTTACCAGAATCTTAAGGTAAATCCTTATACCCGTAAACCGAATATTTTTAACTTTTTGAAATAGTATTTAGTTGTACATTCACTATACTATCTAAATTGTATTTGAAAAAATAGAAGCGGAAATAGAAAAACGGAAAATTCATCAAACAGATTAATCGAAATATTTAAACGATTTTTTCAGATCATTGGAATTCTAATGATAGTGCTGGGTATCTCTGTATATACTCACTATCACAGCTTCTCTTACTTCTACGAGAGTGCAATGAGAGGCAGTATCACAACACCGTCAGTACTGAGCGTGTTCCTTGGTCTAGTGCTTTTACTTGTCACATTTTTCGGGTTCTGGGGCAGCATAAAACGTAGCACCTGCATGATTAACTTTGTAAGTATATGCAGGAATTGACAATAGTAGATATATCTATTATAAACTACGAACTACTGATTGTGAACATTTTCTCATTAAAGTTTGGCATGTTAATCGCTTATATTATTACTTAATTTTGTAAATAATATATATAACATGCATATTATAAAGAAGAAAAGATTGGATGCAGGATGTAATATCTACTCATCGAGTTATAAATATTAATTCACCAATGTTTTGAATAAACCTTGTATAGACATAATATGGTCATCCTATGTGAAAAACAAATGCTGATTACGCGGTTGATAATTATTTGCATGATGCTAATGAATCAAATTAACGTCCACCTCTCTTCCACGTGTTATATATACAAATAATACAGGTTATATACATAAACATTATATTTTTAGTACGCAGTGTTATTGGGTTTCATCTTATTAATTAAATTAGTGATCGTTATACTGGCATTCACGATGGATACAGCAACTTTGATGAATTATATATATTTGCCAATGACATATTACGAAACCGACCCAGAAGTGCGAGCTGAAATAAATTGTTTACAATCATCGGTAAGTTAACGCTTTTTATGGTGGTATTTAAATAAACAAGTAACATGACTATTTATTTTTATCACAGCGGTGCGATTAAAGAAACAATCAAATATGTAATGCTAAGCTAAGCGGAGTTAGCACCTATGATTACTGAACAACTAATACAAATATTTAAATATTTTGTATAAATATATATAGGTACAATATACCCAGATAATCACAACTCATGAATACAAATGTTCGTATTGTGTGAGAATTGAACTTGCGACAATACGCAACAAATAAAAGTAAGACGGTAGCCAAAACCGCTAGACCACAAAACCGTCGAATATAATATTAAAATATTGAATTTTTCAGTTAAATTGCTGCGGAAGCAGTTCCTACTTTGATTATGCTGGTATGCAATTATCACCCAACGAAACGGTCACAGTTAAGTCTAATCACGAGCAAGGAATCATCTTCATAGAAGTCCCAAAGAGCTGTTGTGCTATTGCCGACGGTGACGAGTGTTTGAGGGTGCGATCGGCGGGCTGCAGTGAGGTATTGGTCGGTGTATTGGTTCAAAACGCCAGCGTGCTTGGAGTTTTAGGCGTGTCAGTTATGTTTATAATTGTAAGTATATACTGGTTTATTAATAAAATTAATCGGATTTTAACACGAATAATCGTTTCGAATAGGTTGCACTAGCCGTGGTCACGAGCTGACTGGAGCACAGTAATGTCAATATGACTATAGGTACTATATACTAAATTACTATGTACTAAATGTATCTATGTGTAATACTATTTATCTATCTTCACACGAACTACGAGGTCTATTAGGGGATATAAGCAGATAAAATAGCATTGTAAGGCGTTGCCCTTGCACACAATTCTTACTTTATCCAATTTCATACTAGTCACGTAGTACCTACATGTCGTCTACGGAGACTTGATTTCTCTGCGAGCAACAGTAGAATACTGGCTTATTACAAACTTTTGAAAAAAATATTCTAATAATCTAAGACGATAACTTTAAAGTTTATTCCTAAAAAAAAAATTTTTTTAGTAGTTTATTCATTTGCTAGATATTTGTCCATTTATACAGAAATAGTTATACCAAAATGTTTTTTACTTTCAGTTGCTTGGAATAGTGTTTGCATTGCTGCTGGCACGCTCCATCAGAAAATATAAAAGTGAACGAGCCATGTTGCAGTGGAAAATAAGAGAGCAGATAATCATGGCCCGCGAAAATGAAAAGGAGATAGAAAATAACCCTGTTGTGTATATCACTGTGCCGGAATCTAGTTCGGCTTAATGTTATACATTCATTATATATGTTACGGTGCCATATCTATAAAACCGATAATAAATTATTCTTTAAAGGAATGTCTAATTACGTCAATTAAATCACAGCCATCACATAGAGGAAGGCACCATTATGAGTCATAATATGTTGTGGAAGACCACTACATTAACATTAACATTGTGTAATGTTCAGAATATAATTTGATGTGTATTACATACATATAAAATAAACGTAGGTCATTTACAACTACAGTGGACCCGCGGTAATCCGGCCCCCCTTGTAATCCGACATTGTCGATTATTTGTTATTGAATATTACTTTGACAATATACTTCAGAGTGCATATACATACATACATATATAACATAGAATCTTATCACTGGATCTGTAATTTGTCGGATTACAAGATACTCTTTTGTAAAAAATTCCGGACTATAAGCAGAGGACCCTTAAGCAGCACTCTATAATTCGACAAATACGATGGTCCGACACTGCCCTGCAAAACGTTTGTCGGATAACCGGGGGTCCACTGTATATGTATATAATACAGAGAATCATCATTGGATCTATAATTTGTCGGATTACAAGGTACTCTTTTGTAAAAAAAATCGGACTATAAGGGGTCTTAGGCAGTACTCTATAATCCGACAAATTCGATAGTCCGACACTGCCCTGCAAAATGATTGTCGGACTACCGGGGGTCCACTGTATATATTAATTAATTATAGATAAATTTACACGTTGGGACCACTCGTCGGCACATAAATCTAAGGATTACATAATGTCTACCTCAAATTATTGTACACTAAAACATATTTAAAAAAATATGTACGTAATTAACAATAAAAAAAAATGCGGGTCCTTATGTGGGAAATAAGATTTTTCAATGCGGTCTTCAACGTGTTTAAGAAAAAAAAGAAGTTTCTAGCCAGTTATTTTTGACTGAGAATGTCACCAGATCAGGATGGTAATATTTTAGGTAAGCTATTGTTAATATCTGAGAAGAATATCGTTAGTATATTTTTTCCTTGAACCAAGTACCATGTGAGGTTGCCCTCCACGCGGTTTCCCCTGGAAACCGTAGTGATAAATTTCTGGTGAATTTTCCACGACGGGCAAACTGAGTTGACCTCATGCTCATATTATTATCCTCCACTAATGCACCGCCAGCGTAAACCGTTTTCATCAGATCACTATTATCCATTACAATTATATACTCATGTATATATATATGTGTGTGTGTAATGGGTAGATGGAGATGTAAGGAAGGTTAATTAAATAATGAGTTGAATATATATTATTTAATATATTTAAAAAGTTTCATTAATTTCAAACAGAGCTAGCAAATCGATCTTTGTGATTCCAAAATAATTTCGCTTTCTGTCGAATATCATCACCAATGTCTACATGCTGTCCATGTAACAGGTATGGAGGTGTGAACTCTCTATAAGCCAAGCACACCCTGCGAGAATTTATGTCTTCACGGATTACACAATGCTCCCAGTGATATCTTGGTTCGCCATATATAACTAGTAGAGACCGTCTGGAAAGAACAATATATGATATGCAATAATACATAATTTATTTCATTAGAAAGAATAAAGGTAATATAAATATTATTGATTTTGGGAGTTGAATCTTGTACCAGGTTTCAAGTCATTAGGTATGTAAAATATAAAATAAATAATAAAATAAAGAATGTAAAATGCTATATTATTAGAAATAATGTAACTGAGTGGCAAACATTGTTTCAACATAAATAAAATAAATATTGCTATTAAAAATAGACATTGATTGTAGAAGGGTGAAAATTTAGGGTACTATGTATTTTTTATGCAGAATTAAAAATTAAAAAAAAATTGGTGTTCCGTTATTGTTATGAAATATTTTTCATCCTTCACTTAAGGGTATAAAAAAATTAAACGGCTGAATATAATGAAATTTAACATAAAAATAGACATCAACTATTTTTTAATTCAACCAGGAAGGGAGTGAAATAGAAGATGAAAATTTGTGGAGATGAAATTTTGGCTATAAATATATACTTATTATTATACCTTGGCATAGGAATTCTGACTATAACATTTATGTCTCTGGCTGGTCTACTGGATTCTAAGGCTGTTTCCTCTATTCCATTTGTTACAATCCCTTCATTACTAACAACTGGGTGATATTGCTCTGCACATGCCAGATTATATTTATTGACATCTCCTTTGTAGCGAGTCATTGTCAGCACAGTGTCAGATAAACAGTTCACAGTCACAATTCTCTCACCCCATATCCAACAATCATCTATATGAGGGTCAATCGATGCTCCTTTACTTGGGTCATACTCAAGAGAACATTGTTCAATCACTTCATAGCCTTTTAACAGATCAACAGATTCAAATCTCTGTTGTAGGAATCTAGAAAATTCTGGAAAGCCATCAAAGTTTCCAGCGACAACTTTTTTCTTTTTAAAATTAGTCTTTGGGCCGTAGTTCTGCTTTCGCCGACCACTTTGTGAAATATCCCATGGTACGTCATCTATGTTTTTCATGAGAAGCCTTTCTTCTTCTTCGCTAATGAAGTCAGTTTGTATGTAGACTCCAGGGTAATCAATACTGTCTCCGTCATGATTAGGATGTTCCTTGTATTTATTCATATCCCATCCTCTCCAGGCTTTGTTGCAAAAGGGACAGTAGACATAACCTACATTTTTATCGAATTCCAGTTGTAGTTTCAAATTTTCAGCACCGTACTCGGTTTCACACACCAAACATGTTCTACAACCTTTGCAACCACATGGGCGAGGTATAGTCATGCTGTTAAATTATTAGTGTATTTCATAAGAAGAACATAAATAATATACTAAGACGAAATGGAACCTTGTAGTTTTTGTTCTGCTTGTACTTGATAACAATCAACAGTTAATATATTCTGTATAATTTTAATAATTTTATATTAAATTTATATGATTATTATATAGTCTAAAAGTAATGGTGTAGCGTAAGTGTAAATAAAGATTTAAGAAATTTAAAAAACATATGTTGAAGTCAGAATGATTTTTTTTTTCCATATTCGTCCATCTCCTTTTCAGTGATGGAACAGGCAAAGATCCTTAGACCGTACAGCCTAGTCTACTTTTAAACTTCTTCATATTTGAACAAGTGATGAGGCCAAAGGCCAATTCTTATGTATATTTATTTATTATGTTTTCATTCGTGTTCAAAATTTAAGTCTTATCCGTAGTCCATATCCTTGTATCAATTATTTAAAGTTTCATCGATATCGAGGTAACGTATAAGTATATAGGTATATATGTTTCAAAATTAGTTAGCATGTCTTGGATGTCGCGCGGGATTTTTTCCGGTTTCTTGTAAATGTTCAGTAAATTATCAATAAAGACCAAGCGTTGAATATTATAAGCGGAACATTCGAAAAATATGTGATTTAGGGTCTGACTGCTGTTATTGCACTCTTGACATGCATTTGAATCAATTATTTTCATTCGGCACAAATGACTATTGAATCTAGCGTGACCAAAACGAAGTCGTATAAGGAGTGTGTAAAATTTCCGGTTTTTATAAACTCTAGATTTAGTGAACCAGGGTGAGGAATGAATATTTTTGTTAATGGAGTAAAACCAATTACCCTTGGTCTTTAGCGAAAGTTGCCACTGTTCAATCCATTTTTGACGAAAACTCTTGTAAACTATAGAAAGAATGTCGGAATAAGGTATGGCAACATCCTTGACAACGCCAATGTTATTCATTCTTGGTGATAGTTCTTGCCAGGAAATCTGCGTTTTCATTACCGAAAACACCAATATGTGATGGTGTCCATAATAAAATAATATCATAACACTCCAATGAGAGCTCATATAATATTTGCTTAATGCTATCTATGATATAATTGGTTTTATAATGTAGTTTGTTACTTTGAAGAGCAGTTAAAACACTCATACTGTCTGTGACAATTAACCATTTTTTGCAATTGCCCCTATCATCTTTTATATAACAAAGTGCATTTAAAATAGCCAAAGATTCTGCTGAAAAAATACTAAATTCTTTATGTATTCTAGTTCCATGACCGGTTCTGATACTTGGTAAGTATAGAGCAAAGGATGTTCTCGATTCGTTTTTAGAACCGTCTGTAAATATGGATTGATGAGTTGAAAATGTAGACAACTTGTTATAAACTTCTTGTTTGGTCCTTAACTCAGAGTCAATTACAATATTAATATTTGGAAATTTACTTTCAAATGGTCCATGGTAACAATTCCAAAATCTATTGCTTTTGTGAATTTTGTATTGCTGATCAATATTGATTGAGTCAGAGAAATCATGAAGTATATAGGGAACTGTTTTAGAATTAGAAAGGGGAAATAAAGAAGTAATATGTTTGAGCCTTTGTAAGAGTGGGTCTTCAGAAAAGGATAATAATTTTAGGATGAATCTTTGTTTTAAGTACCAGAATCTCAGGTTTAATGGTGGTATACAGCACTCTACTTGTAAGGAATTTATAGGGGTTGTTTTCATTGCACCAGTTATGTATCTTAAATTATTATTCTGAAGTACTTCAAGTTTATGAAGCTTGTTTTGGTCAGAACCAAAACATAGATAGCCATATTCAAAGTGGCTGCGAACCAAGGATTTGTACAGCATTAAAAGGATCTTAGGATCACATTTATATAGAGCTTTGATAATATTAAATGCTTTGGAAGCTTTACCTAGTAAATAATCAACATATTTGTTCCAAGACAAATTGCTACAAAAAATAACACCTAAAAATTTAACTTCAGCAGTAATAGGTAGTTGTGAATTATTATATAATATTTTAATGTTTTTGTATGATTTATTAGTTTTAGAAAATATTACTACTTTAGATTTGTCAGGGCTTACATCTAAATTGAGGTATTTAAAGTAATCTGTTAATCTTAACAATGCATTACTTATTATTTCTGTAACTTTATTAATGTCTGGGCCTGAAAAGTATATAACAAGGTCATCTGCAAATTGAAGATTCCTGACATGTGGTCCTAAAATTAAATTAAGTTTGTGTATGTAGAGGATAAAGAGTAATGGACTAAGTATTCCACCTTGACACACACCTTTATAAGAAAGACGAGGTCCTATTAACTGCTTGTTAACTTTAACAAAAACTTCTCTACCATTTAAAAAGTTATAGACCCAGTTTATAATTTTTCCAGGTATACCAATAGAAACAAGTTCCAGAGTGAGAATGTGATGATTGACATTATTGAATGCACCGATAATATCAAAGAATACCCCAATCAAAACTTCATTGCATTTAAGTGCTTTAAATATATCAATATGAAGATGAGTAACACTCTCAGAGGCAGATTTACCTCTACGAAAACCAAACTGATTTGCTGGTAATAAACAATTACTCTCTATGTAGAATTCTAGTCTTTGTTTTAATAATTGCTCAAATATTTTTCCCATGCAGGAGGTCAGAGTTATAGGTCTATAGGAATCTATTTCATTTGCATTTTTGTTTGGTTTTAAAATTGGAATAATACAATCTTTTTTCCAATCGGAAGGAATAAGTGAATCTTTCCACAGTGCATTATAAATACATAAAACAATATTTTTAGAGTTATAAGAGAGGTTTTTTAATAATTTATATGCTATGCCATCGAGACCAAATGCTGTATCTCTTCGGGTAGATATGGCTGCATTAAATTCATAAAAAGTGAAGGGTTTATTTAAATAATTTAATTTGTTACTATTTTCATTAATGTGTGATTTAAATTGGGTCTCGACAGTGTCAGGAGTATATTTTTTAAGAAAATTAGAAATCCAGTTATTATTATTTGAAATCTGACTATATACATAAGTTTTATTGAATTTTTTAACAGTATTCCAAATTTTGGAAATGGGTGTGGTGCGATTAAAATTTTCACAAAACTTATTCCAGCTAATTGATTGTTCTTTTTTAAGTATTAATTTTTTTTTGGCTTGTAACCTTTTAAAAGCAATATAATTTGCCTCTGATGGGTCGTTTTTAAAATTAATATATGCCTGTTTAGAATTATCTACTGCAAGAGTACATTTTTGATTCCACCAAGATAATGGAATCCTTTTATTTTTAAAAGAAATATCATTTGTAGAGCTTATGGGTTTTGATTTTGATATACAACATTTGTCTATAGCTAAATTTAAAATATCAATTAATTTAGTATAACACTGCAGGGGTGAATTACTATAAGTGTAAAGTGTAAAATCTTGTAACAAACTATCTGTGGTCTTCTTATACACAGTCCAATCTATAAGATTGTAATTATGAAATTTGGGATAATCTAAGGATTCTGGTAATCTAGAGCAATTGTTATTAATTACTATTTTTGTTATTACAGGTAAATGGTAGCTACCTAAGGGATCATTATGTACTATCCAATGTGAAGCAAGAGATATGCAAGGGGATGCAATAGTAAGGTCAAGCGCATTACTCTGCCATCTGTGTGATCCTACTGTAGTCGGTGTACCATCATTTAAGAGGACCAAGTTGTTACCATCAATACATTCAAGAATGTCACGACCGCGAGCATTAATAGACGAGCAACCCCATGCTGTGTGATGAGCATTAAAATCACCAGCAACCAACATGGGCTCTGGAATACTATTAAGAAGATTACTGAATTTATTTTTGTTAAAACGTGGACTACAATTATTTGGGCTATAAAAACTAACAACTGACATTTCTGTGTTTTTATATTTTAATCGTACCGCAATATTCTGTAAGGAATCATCACTATATGTATCAATTTTACTGAATTCTATACTTTTATGAACTAAAATTGCAACGCCGTTGTGGTCATTGCCTGAGTCTAATCTAACAATGTTAAAGCCTTTAATATTTAATTTATAGTAGGCTTTTAGCCAGGTTTCTGATATCAGAGCAATATGAATATTGTTCTCCAATAGAAAATGTGTAAAGATTTGTTGATTACTTACTAAACTTTGTGCATTCCACTGGACTATTACTATATGGTCCATAAAGAAATAAAAAATTAAAGAAAGAAAGATTAATCTGGGTTTTTTTTATTCTGTAATGTCTCTAGGAGAACTTGTTTTATATTTTCTGTACATATTGTTTTGTCATTGGTTCTATTCAATGTTATAATTTTAACAATTGATTCTAATAGGGTATTTAAAATTTGGTCAGAATTAAGTAGGGATATAAATTGTGCCGAAGGTGAAGTTTTGGTACTGCCTAATTGAGGAAATGATTTCTCTCTAACAATATCAGCATAACTTTGTACTTTATTTTTATTCTCCTCTATTTTCTTTTTCTTAATAGGACACTGTGATGAAATGGCTATATGATTACCATTGCAGTGACAACATTTGGCTTCGTTAATATTTGCCGAACAGTTTCTGAAATTATGATTATTTCCGCATACTGAGCATCTTTCAGCGTTCTTACAAAACTTAGCGATGTGACCATACCTTAAACATTTAAGACACTGCTTTACAGGAGGTATGTAAGGCCTCACCACAAAGCGCCAGCTATTCAGGTCGACGGTGTCAGGAAGTACAGGACAGGAAAATGTGATGGAGACGGTTTTAGTTGGCTGCATTGTAAAGGTGTTATCATCACCTTTAATACGCCTCATGAATCTGCGTACACAAACAATATTTTTTGAGCTGGTTATATTAGAGTATATTTGTTCGTTCGATAGATGCGTAGGAACATGCTGAACTACTCCAGTTACTTCCGTGGCTGAAGCTGGTATACTTGCCTTTAATTTAAATCCGTCTAGAAATTTTTTATTAACTAAGGCTGCATTAGCTAAACCGGGGCGTTCAAAAATGACGCCGATCTTAAATTTATTCATCCTTAATAATTGCTTAACTCCTTTATTATATTTTTTCAAATTAGTAGCTAAGGACATCATATCCCTATCACCGATTGGCTTATTACTATCTGTACTCTCCATAAATACAATGTATTCAAAGTTTCCACCATCCTCAGGATAGTACCGAACATAATCTGGTATTTGAAATGCCTTATACTTATCCACATCCTCAGGTGCCGATTCCGAGTCAGACCCTAGAAAATTAATATCATCGGATGTATCATCCGATATTTCCTCTTTCTTTTTTCGCTTCTTCCCGCTCCTCTTCGTCATCTTTACTAGTTTTGACTAAAAAAACTCAATAAAATATTATTTTCCAAAACTAGCGCGAAAAAATACGTGTAGTCGCTTTGAAAGTTCCCGCGCTTTTTTTCGAAGTCAGAATGAAATGTCAGTAGAAATGTCTTTTTTTCTGTAGCTTTACGGCTTTGGAGAATCGGTAACAGAATTATTGCCATTTCGGGTGTTGCCAGATCAACAACTTTATTCAGTCTACTTTCATTAGTCCATTTACAGAATTAATTCTTCCATTATGTTGAGAGATTCTTTCCACCTTGCAGTAATTGTCATAAATTGTGCATAAATGAAATTGTTGAATAAAAATATTTAGTCAATAGTTTTCTTTACATTTAATCTACATCTCCTCCAGTTTAGTCTTTACTAATGTACTCAATTATTTTTTTAGAAACAGAAAAAGTTGTAGGATTGTTTTTAGAAAGAAAACAGAAATAAATAGTAAACAGTCTGTGCTTTATTAATTGGGATGAAGAGGATATTAGGGACTAGTAGTTAGTACTATGTCACATGGACCCCCACGCAGTTCTCCCTGGAAACCATAATGGTATGGTTTACTGGTGAATTCCTTATAATGTTTGAACTGACCGAATTTCATTATCATTCTACATCGTCCACTTGTATATAGCTGGCATGTGCTGTTCGCAAACTAGAAAAATGTTATCACTCTGTAAAAAAGCAACTTTGTCAGAAGTTTTACTTTTAATCTATTCCTAGTAGTATTGTTAGTTTTTTTAGCAAGCAGTTTATTTTATTATATCAGTTTATATAATATAAGCAGTGGCTTTGTCAATAAAACACAAAATTTAATATTAATTTAAGACTTTATTTGATTTCTGACGTCAAGTAATGAGACAAAATATTTTGATCCCTGAATTAAAAATAAATTGTTAATAATATTCCTCAATTTTAATTTACAAGTATGTAGATAAATCTATTTATGTGTTTAGTAAATCCAATAATTCGAATGAACATGTGCATGCTTAAATTTTTATCAATATTCTTTATTTTAAAGATTTTTATTTTATTGATTTATATATATATCATATGATAGTATTTATAGACGGATGTCCATTCAAAATTTTCACATTTGTATTTAATCTTGATAGCCGTTGGATTTTTTCCTAAAGTTCGGGGTTCGATACACAGTGTGCATATCCATAGATAGATATGTAGGTACACCACATTTTTGTAAGCTAAAGAAACAGAAGGAAAATATTCGCTATTATGTTTTCTATGCATTTACAATGATCTTGTAAATTATAGGTTCCAAATTGCAGCGTTGGTATGTTCGTTATTTTTCCCAGAGGAACGCTTTCCACTATTATATAGATGTAAACTACAAATAGCACGTTTTTAGTGGGAAGACTGTACATAGTTCAGACTGGTTTGAGATTAAAAATAGCTGATATCGATTCATAGGTAGTTCATTATTATCTACATATTAATTTTATGGATTACATTATTTCTGTTGCATATTGTATTTTGAATTTTAGTCTCCAATAACTTGTTTTCCATAGCGTACCGGCTCTTTAGTCTATTTTCCATAGACTTACAATTACAGTTTAGTTCGTTTTATAATTCTGGATTCTTGGATCTGTTAGCCATTTGATAGATATAGTCATATTATATAATTAGTGCTAAACTATATTTCTGAAATATACGTTTCAGACTTGCATGCATATAGTGTTTTTATCTGTGCGAGAATATTCTTATGGCAATTAAAAATCGAGAATTTTTTAATTTCTTTTAGTTTTTTTCTATTATATAAGTCTTGCGAAACAAGACAAAAGTGTTCAAATTTTATTAATGTTTACATTAAGTACGCATACGATATATGTCATATATTGTGCAATATTTATTTATATTATTCAATTATATGATCATCATATTACTTAGCTAGGTATAGTTACTTACAGCTACAGCTACGTAGAAATGTGATAAAATGTAAAATGTGTTACTTGATATAGTGAGTAACCGATACATCAAATGAGATATTATTAATATTATAAGAGGAGGCTAATTACACTTTCATAATATAGATATAGGATCATATCTGTGTATATAAATTTAGGTACTAATGGTTATAACATGGCGCAAATGACGATATGGCAATACACAAATTATTAAAACGTAGACATTTAGAAAGGCTCAATAATACAATACGATTGTAGTGAAATGTCAAAATATGACTGTTAAATTTAGTTTGTACTAGAAAATGTCACTAAATTCAGTTCGTTTATACAAAAATCGCTAAAAAAAATATTCGTCGCCCGCACCATACTATATCGCGCGTTGATACACTATAAGAAAGAAGTTTCAATGATATCTTGTATTGTCTGTGACTGTTTAATGACAGCAGCGCCTTGATTATATAACGACGTTACAATAGTTTCTCATTTTAAACCAAATTGAATACCTACTGTTCGCAACTGGAACCGTCAAACGGTTCGTACACATACGCAAAACTTTTTTTTCTTAATAATATACGGTTTATATATTAATTATATAAAACCACTATCTCTTGTTCCCATCCTGCGTTTATGAGTATAACATATACCTACATATGATCCTATATTCTGATATTAACATTAAATTCAAGAACATTTACTGTTATCAGATATCAATGAGGATACAGTTATGTAGTTCAATATTTATCACTAAATTTATTACAGTATTTGTTTCGTTTCTCAGTAAAAAATTATATAAGTATGTATAAGGATTATTTTTTACATCGTTTGGGTGAAGGTGAATATATCGAATAGATTGAACTGTATTTTGAATATAAAAAACAGAGACAAGCTGTATAAAGGTTACAATAGATATAAAAACCGTAAATTCGTGGCCTGCCACATTAAGAAATAAATACATACGGTTATCTATGTTACTAATGTCTACAGTTTTGTGCATTTACCTGTATCTATAATACCTTAATATCTATATAACTACGTACGTTTTAAATTTGGAAACGTGTTTGTGAAAATATAAAAAGGACTATAACCCCCCCCCATGTAATATCATTACAGTAAAAATTAAAAAAGTAAATATTTTATTAAACTTTATTCGGAGACTTAGAGCGTGGCACTCATGGTCATATAGCAGCGGTGTACACGTGCTGAAGGAGAACATCCCATGAGGATGGTGGTGGAAGCAAAGAGCACCCATAAAATACACGCTTTCATGAACTTAACTCACTGACTTAGCATACATAATTTACTTTTCTATAACACAACCCTTAAAATCCAGAATTAAGTTAAGTAGTACCAATACTCTATATTTTAATACTATATTTCTGATTATATTCCAGATTCTGTGACAAGTATCTTTAAAAATATCCTCGTTGCCTAACTTTTATCATTTAAAAAAAGACTGTGACAACTGCAAAATTGCGTACAAATCTAAATTCCATAGAAATACGGACGCTATATACCACGCAGAAGTGCCGCGAGCCAAGTATCCAGGTGTATATAATTATATATTATCTATAGGTTACCTACGTTTATATATTGAAATTAATTATACTCGGACACACTTTTTAATATACACATATATATTCATAGATATAAATAAAATATGGCTATACGATAAACCCCACATTAATGGAATAACATTCCTATATAAAACAATAAACAAAACGATAAATCGAGTATTTAAAGTGAATGAGAAATTATTATGTGATTCTGAATATACCATATGATTTTGTTGTAACATTTTATTATATATCAGCACCAAATACACACATCACATTTTTACCTATACCTTCATTCACAAGGCCAATACTATCATTCTGATATTTTATCCGTCGTAACTCCATAATTATAATTAGTGTGATCTACATATAAATTTATTAATGCAAGTAAATTATGGCAGTGAGTTATACTTACTACGTACGTCAAAACTACCTTCAATTCGACAATTTTACTCCTTCAAATTGGTGACTTACTTTTAAGTAATTGGGTGTATACAGAATATAGATGTATCCTGAAATATATTCCCGTGTCTCTTTATTTGAATGAATCATCGAGACAATGTTGCATTTGAGTTGTCTAGTCCGTATTATACTCGTCTTATAAGTGTGTATAATCACGTGAAACAGAATCGTAGGGGCGATTTTTTCGCTACATTAGGTACCAATCGATTGTTTATCGATTCGTTCAATCGAGCTCATCAAAATCGAGTATTTTGAATGTGGCGTGAGGGTGCAGCGCTAGGGGCGGCGGCGACGGTGTGGGGGGCGCTACCACGACGGCAGGCGGGCGCAGCCGCGGCGCGACCTTATGCTAGTCGTCCACCAGCTCCCACAGCATCAGCGCGGCGTCAGACCCCCCGGAGCTCACGAGGCAACGGTCGTTGAATAGGAACCGAGCGTTAAACATAGCGCCACTGTATACTTTCGTCTCGTTGTATTCCGCTTTCGGACTAGCGCAAGGATATCTGGAAATTGTTTATAGTAATTAAGATTACTAGTGGAAATTCGACCATACTAAAAATATAAAAAGGTCTTTGAACTAGCAATAATAAATATATATATTTTGATAATAAACAAAAGAGTATATATACGACTGTGTGTTAAATACATAATTTAAAAAAATATTAGCACGGGGTACAACATTTTTGCTTCACGTATTAATACACGAAGTTTAGATGTACTCATTGTTATATGATTTTGTCAGTACAATGACAGTCAGATCATCAGGAGTATTGTGCCATTGCTTGCGTAAACAGAATTCTGAAAACAGCTTCCATTTGTTTGTTATAGGTACTCTGCTCTATAAATTAATAAAATTTGGTCAGGATATTTTTAATCGGATCATATTGAATACTAAATTGAACAGGGAATAAATCTACCACCGATGTATAAAAAGTAAGAATAGTCGTAACTGTGTTCAAATAAACTTAATGTTAAGCACTTTCATTATGAATGGTGCGTTTTTCTATTGTACTGGCATATTTTAAATGTAGGTTTAAAAGAAAGGAGTGGGAAATAAAGTCTGTAATCACATGTGATTACTTGCTTATTTTCAATTTAGAATGCGTAGCTTTCATTTATTTTAATAATAAAATTATTATTACAGGGATGTGAAAATGCCATCGTGACGTATTTATTTACACACTCCACAATTTAAATTATGATTTTACAAAGTCTATTATGACTTTTTTTTAAATTACACATTTAATATTATTTGTGACTAAAACCATAGATAACATAATATTATATGTAAAAGTAACAGAAATATATAAAAATCATAATATTTGAAAGATAAAACTACAGTAAGTAACAAAGAATTCGTTTATTATCTGCTCACCTGAATAACCGCAAGTATCCATCGGTGTCGCCGCTTACCAGCAGATCGTGGGCGGCCGAGCGACTTGCGGTAGATATCAATGTAGTCATTGGATAGAATCGGTTATTCCACATTCCTATAACGTAACCAAGGATAAATTAAAGATCAGATTTATAATAGAGATTAATCCGACTAGGATTCTCCTGATTACAACGAGAATATTGAGAACAGAAATGCAATGCTAGGTGTATTAATGCTCAATGAATAACAACTAAATGATAAACGAAGTAACTAACAGGATGTCATGACTCCAGAATGGAGCCGCAAAGGTGTTTTTAGTAAATAAGAAACTCCAGATATTCTAGCCACTTTTCTCATCTTTATAATTTTTATATACACTCAAAACAAAAGTTTCTTTTATTTCAAAGTATTCTACTTCATAATACGTTACTTGATGGTAAGTAACGATAGATCTAAAATAAATCACGGTTATTCGGCAGTTGCTTATTCACTATTTATTTCAATAGGTGGTATTTTCGGGAGTCTTTAGTATGGAATGATTTCAGCCCCTGATCTTCATTTTTTTCGAAGCGGGGCAAAAAACAAAAATGCCGCCCTCTTTACACTCCCCTCCTAGATTTGGGGCTGAATGAATATCGATTAATATTATAATTACATCCGGTAACATTTTTATTGTTCTCTTTAGATTTATAAAGACCATAATAAAGATGGATTTTGTTGTTTCTGATTTGAAGAGAGAAAGCAAATTATACAGATTTATTAAATAAAACCTACCTGATACAAGGAAACCAACAGTGGAATTATATGTAGACCATTTAACATCTTTCATGGCTATAGGACTTTTCTCAGGTGATAAGGCCTTGATGTCCCCTGTAATAGAAATATGAGAATTAAAATTTAGACCTGTAAAGTTTGGGGTTAATTACTTGTGCTGTACGGTATAATGAACTATAAAAAAAGCTATAATTAACTAAATAAGTATTTGTTATTGCAGTAGATACATACATTACGTTATTGGAATGCAAAAAAGCTAACAGCCCGCCTGATGTGGAGCGCTAACTGTGGACATGTATATATCAATAACTCTACAAAACATCTCCTTTGGAAAGTATACGGTCTATCTTGAGGAGGTAAAAACCATCGATCCTAAGAATATTTTTCAATGATTGTATATGACGAGAAAGGCAGTGAACTCTAAAAAAATGGCCAGCATAATAGATCTCTGCAGGTGAAGTCCTTAATGAAAAAAGGTACTTACAAAATGCTAAATCATAATCAGCTGTCACTGTCTGCAAGTAGTTTCCGTCAAGACTCCAATCGAGTTGCACGAGTGGCTGCGCGCCACGTATTTTGTTAGATTTCTTGTAAGAGAAACCATCACGGGAGACACGGAATAAATAAATGCTTCCATTTTGAGATCCTATTGCCAGAATGTCGCCGGCTGAAATTAAATCAAATAATAATTAAACATTTATTAACATTGAAGTCAGTTATTGAATTTTAAATTAAAAAATACAATCTATTAATATGTTTTTAAATAGATGATAATGGAATGCTGCATCAGCCTGTGCCTGCCGGCCACCGGTTTACGCTAGCGCAGCATCAGTGGACGATGATAAATCGATCATGAAAAGTTATAAATTCCTGGCGAATTTATAATGATAGTTTCTAAGGGGAGCCGCGTGGAGGTCAACCCGACATGGTACATTGCTAGCAATGGGATCATCAGTCCACATCGCTAACATCCACTTTCCACCCAATCTATTAACTAACTATAAGAGACTAGAGAGATAGTACTAATTTACTAATGTTATTAGTCCTGCCCTCCACACATCTACTGTCATTCCAGATGTCAATCCCTAAACGACATCGTGATGAACGCAACACTGCAAATACCCACATTTTGCTAGGTATATTTGAATGTAACATGTAAAATTACCGAGAGGCGGTGGCGAGCCTGCCACCGCCTCTCGGATTTATTTTGGATTTTGCTCTCCATGTTTCCCTCACCACCGAGTGACTCAGAAATATAAATTGATACCCAAAGTTTATTGGTATCCGTCAAACAACTCACTTTCAAGTCCTACCCGGACGGACCCGGAAATGTCCTGAGTTCCAATCCAACCAATCTGTTAACCACTAGCTATTTTTGCTATCAGTAAAACGAATTACCTGAATTGTATTGTAAAGTGTTGAGGGGCGAGCCGCAAACTCTGAGAGTAGCAACGTGAGCACCAGCGTCCGCGTTCAGAACAACTAAATGACCCTCCGTGCTGCCAGCAGCCAGTGCTCCACCACCAGGGTGCCAAGCAAGAGACACGCATTCGTAGCCAACCTACGATAACAGAAAGCGTATTGTTATAGTCACATTTATATCAAATCAAATTTAAATATCTTTATTTTTATTCATATATCACTAAGCACAGACACGTATAAGTTCAATCTACCGTTAGGTGTATTCTGTGTATATTATGTATTTACTAAAAAAATATCTATATATTTGTATCAGTTCTTTAGTACCCATAATACAAGCTCTGCGTAGCTTGGGACTAGATAACATTGTACGAATTATCCTGAGATATTATTATTATTATGCTTACACTCGCGCACTCACACACACACACACACACAATCCCACACGTATTGTGAATATTATGCATTCTCACCTGTGTAGCAAATACTAGCTTATGTCCTTTCCACAAAGCAATATTTTTGTCATGGCCAGCAGTCGCGAACATTTCATCATCCGGATGTACAGCCAACCCCATCAGTTGTTTGTGATGACCAAACAAAACCTAAAAAGTACAATCATATCTTATATTGCAAACGGGGCGCGTTTCTGTACATTGAATATAAAATAAAATGCACACGTACTTATGTTATAGTAGTTAACTCCAAAACATACTAATTAAAATTTCTATCTATTTCTCTGTGTATGTGTATGTGATGACAGGAGTGGTGGTGAGAGTAAACACACACAGTAGGGTGTAACTTGTATATTTAACTGTTACATCTTGAATACTCTAGCTTACACTAATTACATAAACTATATATATGAGGTACTGCGTGACCTACGTGTCGTTATACAAAACGTACACTCGCACAATCTTTTACTGAACGTGCTGATTTGCATCACTATACCACACCTCCCCTGAAAAGTAGGGTGTCTATGGTGAGGGTGTCCCCTCCCTCTGAAAGTTTAACATTACAAGGACAATTTTATTATTTAAACATACAAAAAGACAAAAAAAACAAGCACCAAGGATTAATTTAACTTAACAATTTCTCAAGGTATATCATAGCTGAGTACAAAAAAAATACAAACTTTTATAAATACATTGTATTATTAATACATATTTGTCATCATCTAACAGATCTTGTTTTCTACTAAACAAGTAGTAACCAAAAATTAAAATTAGGCCTTTTACTCTATAACAATTTTAAGAAATTTTATGCTTTACATTATTGGCCAATGTGACAATGCTCACTTCATTATCTGTACTTATTGACTTACTATACTTCTCTATACATTTTACAGTATACCTACATAATCGTAAAAACTCATCATACTTCTGTATATACCGACAGAACTTATTAACTTGAGACTTATTGTACATATTTTTAATAATTATAACTTCCATAATATTATGATCCTTGCATATCTCTACAAGTTCTCTTAATGATTTATCTACGCCCACCTTTGTTAATAGAGACGTTTGATTTAAATATATTATAGATCCGGATAGAACTACATTGCACGCATTATCATGCATATTATGCATACCTAACACTTTTCCTAATGTCTCCTTATTACAAATATTTACTTTCACACGAAACTGTGATTTTCTAGTAATTTCTACCATCTTTGATGGACTAGATTTTATTTTCACTTGAGAACATTTATTATTTTTTTTAATTGGACCTTGCTTAATAACGCCTGAAAAGCATGAGTTTAATTTTTTTAACTCATCGGACGTTGCAATTATTTTCGATAATTCGTCCGTTGTTCTATTTTTCGCACAATTTCCATTTTCCACAATATAATCAGTTTTCCTTTTATTAGGAAAATTAACATATTTTATACCATTTTCTCTTTTTTGAAAAGGTATACGAACCCTATCGAGTGATCCGTGGGGCTTTACACTTAAACAGCCCAATTCAAAATTTATAATACCTTTAAATTGTATTAAAAAATCTTCTCCTAATATACCATGGGAACTGCACTGTAATTCTTTAAATACATAAAACTTTTGTCTAAATTGCAGTTTCTGAAATTCAAGATTCAGGTAAACAAATCCCATTGCCTCTAGATTACCACAAACGCCTTTTATTGTAGCGTTATCTTTATGGATCTTAATTGAAGGCAAATTTTTTAACCAATCATACTTTAAAACTGACATTGATGCTCCTGAGTCTGCTATCAAAAATATATCATTATTAAAACAATTAAATTTAACTACATTATTTGTGTTAAAAGCTAAAATTTCGGTATTCTTATTTTCATGAACAAAATCTAACGATGTCTTTCTATCGCTATTCCTACTATCAGCTGACGCTTTGACGTAATTCATATGCTTACTATAACAAACTGCGCGACCTTCTTTACTATGCATTTTTGTATTTTGCTGACTACGCGCCTTAGTATTATTACGCTTCACTTGACATTGATTTGTTCTACGATCAAATTCTCGTGCGTCATAATTTATTTTATTTATTAAACACGTTTGGAAGTTCTTAGGAATGAATTCCTCCTCTTCTATTGCTGATCTGACAGCTTCTTGTAAATTTGATATATTTCTACATATTATATACATTGTCAACCTACTATCGTTTAGCCCGTATGCAAATTGCCTAATTGCAATATTCTCATTTATGGGCAATAGAATATCATACGCGGTGTTCAAACCCCCGCTTGGGCAATTGTTAATTCAACAAACAACCTTTCAATTTCATCCCCAAACTCTAAAATTGTTCTATTACCCTGCCTACATTTTTGTAGTTGCGTTAAAATGAATGTATACGATTTACTTGGTAATAGAATTTTTCTTATATCCTCCGTTAAATTATTAATATTATCGTAGTTTGATTTTAATTTTAATTTGGCACAACTAGAAAGTCTCGTCTTTAATATAAAATTTATTAGTAAGGGGTGGTCATCAGGCCTGAGGATGGTTTTGTAAAATTCAATGCCGTCTAAAAGGCTTTTTATAATTTTCTCATCCCGATTCACTATGGGTAATAGTAATAAAGCTGTTTTTAAATCAAATGCGGCCATTTTTAAAATATACAGACTAATATAAAATTCTTTCAAAAATTGTGTAAGTGCCCTGTCACAGTTTCCCTACTTCCTGTTCAAAATAAGTGACTTAAATTTAAATACACAATCAAATATTATATACCACTTAATATGTCCTTAATTATATTTTCACTGCACCAAACACGTATAAAATGTCTTCAGAAATGACACTAATCACGGCACATTTGATAATCACTACAACATTTGTAGACCGCTAGCACCCTTTTATTCAATCTTCATACTTCCATCTATGGATGCTTCAATCAATTTTAGGCACAGGTATGCGGTGAACCTCAATTTGAGGATATTGGACACCGATGGCCTAGGAACATTAATTTCCACCGTACAATATATTGAGGGTAAATAATTTATACCTCTTTGCTGCCCGAAGATCTTCAGAGTATAGTCTGATCTTGATCCATTTATGCAGCTTCTTTGTCACGGTCGCCATGTGATGACAGGAGTGGTGGTGAGAGTAAACACACACAGTAGGGTGTAACTTGTATATTTAACTGTTACATCTTGAATACTCTAGCTTACACTAATTACATAAACTATATATATGAGGTACTGCGTGACCTACGTGTCGTTATACAAAACGTACACTCGCACAATCTTTTACTGAACGTGCTGATTTGCATCACTATACCACAGTATGCTAATCTCAAAAACATTTAGAATGCGGTTTCTAGAGACGTTTTGCAGAGAACTTCCCGAAACATTTAATGTTGGTTTGATTGCAACAAGAAACAAAATTGGATTATCTTGGTAATGAAATCGCGAGCAATTTAGAAAAAAAGTAGTCTAAGGCATTTTACTATAAATCAATATATAAATTTCTACCTGATTAAAGCGCCTTTGGAGGGACCCTTCCATTATATTATTTCTAGTGGTGCCTACATACAAGTTGCCGTCGTTTCTTCCCGGTCTTTGAGGATAAATGCTTCGAACACCACCAGCGGATTCCGGTAGCTGAAATATTATATTCCATTATAAAATAAAATTACATGACACTGATTACTACATAAATTATATTCACCTAATACCCAAATACGAGAAAATGAAACTTTGTTCCACTTATTATGAATATTACTAGGACTTAAGATTATTAAGTTTGTCACAGTTAAAGTTTATGTAGATAAGTAGAGCAGACAATAAAAATATAGTTAATATTTTACTCAAACATTGCTAAAAATAAAGTAAAAAATATTGGAAACTACCATGTGTTTCATACACACATAAAAATATATTTTTTTATAGTCTTTGAAATATAACCAGAACAACGTTCAAAATTAAACTTATTTTTTATTTAGGTCGAATTTGTTCATGAGTATTATACTAAAATAACACTATTAAACAGTTTTAAAAAATTAGGTCATCTGTAGACGTACTTTTGTTTCTGTTATTCGTTTATAATTCTGCAGTGAATCCCAAGCAGCGATCTTTCTATCCTTCTCACCTCCAGATATCAAGGTGCCTTCAGACAGCATTATTAGTGAGCTGATTCCTTTAATGTGAGCCTGAAAATATATCAATTAGTTAAATGGTGAATATGATATTAACATAAAAAAATCTCATACAGTAACAGACTTTGAAGTCGCATTTAAATGAAAAATACATATTACTATTAATAACTACGTATAGTTTATTTCACATTTATTACTACAATTCAAACGTGGATTGATTCTGTAAGGTTACCATTATTGAACCAATTTCGGCATTACCATAAAATATTGTCTATCATATATAAATCATGCACTAGGATATATATATTTTTAAATGTCTGTGTGCTCATTTTTTAACAAGTGATTATCTTTCATCATTTCGGATCTGTGCAGGAAAGTGACTGAGTTATATTGTATTCTTACCCACTCAAAACACAAAATGAGCTTTCTTTCCTTTATCATAGAGTTGCGTTAGCTTTACATCACAACTCCAAATGCAATTATATGTAATGCAACATATAGATCTGTACGATACATACCTCAAATTCCATTCGTACAAAATATGCGCCATCACTGTCTACGCTGTAGATAGTTATGAACCCGTCACTATCAGCTGTCACAACGTCACCATCTTGTTCAAATTGTAGAGCTGTTACGTGTGTACGAGACGGCTAAAATAAACCATATACATATAATAATAATAATAATACACCGGCACCCAGACTTACTTATGAATACAAATGTTTGTGCCGTGCGAGGAATCAAACCCACTACCATCGGCTAGTAAAGGGGTGTGCTAAATCGCTAGATCACCGATGCCGTCATTGTTATGTCACCTCCATAACTTTATTGTGGTTTAGCAAATAATTTTATTTTAAGTATTGTTTCTATTGCACCAGTAAATTTATTATTTCATTCTCTAGTCAGCTCTTACAATATCCTGGGCGTTACATTGAAAGTGGATATATCGTGTTTTTATTTTGTCGCGACAAGGTATACTGTAAATGGGTCAGTCCAAAATGTGCCTGGTTCACTTTCAATCTTACTACATATATGAATCTATCAGTTAGGCTGGCCAGTATATTAAATAATATTTTTAAAGTATCGTCCAGTGAAACTCTTATACATATTGCTGCTGAATTTCTCTATCACTTATTCCTGTAATTGAAATAACTTACAGGTTTTATGATGTCTGTACGTTCAAAGAAACCGTCTTTTCTGCGGTTCCAAAAAGTAAGGTGTCCCTTGCCGTGTGTGATTAACAAATTGTCATCTAGTGGATGGAAGGCAGCGCCGGTCAATTCTTCTTGTAGAGTCTGAAATAATGAATAGGTTAGGAACTAAAAAGTAATAATAAAAATACCCAAATATGTATGGTACCAAAAATATTTTGTATGACCAAAAAGGTTAATAATAATTAAATAATTGAAAACAGCAAAGGAATAATTTGTGTTAATTTTTATTGTAGCCCGTACCACCGTAGTGGTGGCGTAGCGTCTAACGTAGACTATGCGTAGAAGGTACACTAAAAATCTGCACTGCGCTTTATTTCTATTTCAAGTTATTGCTGCTACTATGAAATATTACGCTATTGTTAACATATATAATTGCTGCACCATTTGGTCTAACATAAGTACATATTTACTGCTTTCTCATTTACCTGAAGAATACATTGGTAATTGTACACATTTGAAGAAGAAGGATTAGCTATGTTGCAAGAAAATCTTTTTATATAGTTAAACAATTTATAATTTGAAACTTTTTGATATACATATACTTTACATCCATTCATCCATTGGCTACGCCCTCTGCTATCTATGCAAAAAAATATTGGGAATAATGTAATGAAAATAATCGTATTTAATATCAAGTGACACGAATATATGTTATACGTGAAGCAGGACGCAGTACACGCCGAGGAAAGGAACAAAGAAGTACCGACGCGATATATGACCTCGGACGACGTGTCGCGTGACCGATAAGCCCTACTCGACAAATATGAAGATTAATTTCAAAAATCCAAGTACTTAAGTTTTATTAACAGCAGTATTTTAGATTACTACAATATTTATATTGCCCGCTTTTTATCCAATTAAAGAATATTAATTAAACGTTTAATGAAATGATTTGTCATCAGGACTGTATGCTTGATCGTTAACGTCATATAAAAACTATATTAATGAAGTAGCGAGTAATAGAAATAATCTTTGTTCAAATAAAATTAAAGTACTTTGTTAAAGTAGGTATTTTTCTAATAACCTATCGGCAGTTTTTAAGTAAATATTCAGACGGACTTGATGTCTAAAACAGCCTACATACTATACTAGAATCAGACGCAATTTTAGAGCGGTTGTGATTGAGGTAAGCCAACTTGCTAGATATAGTCTATATAATCGGTCAGGATTATGCCACAAACGGCATGATCTAGGAAGCAAATCAGTGCGCTCCTCATGACTTCATTTTTCTGGTGGTCCACCTGAAAGTAACTGGTTGCCTATATACATGAACAGCACCTCGGAAGGATATCACATTATCAAGTAACGTCTATTGCCTTTACATTCCAGAGGAACAATGAAACAAACAGAACAAAAAAAAGAGGAGGATGTTATGCCTGTAATTTCACTGCGTACATTACTTTGCAACCGAAATACAGCATACAAAGCAAGCTTTTTAGTAGCAGTGAAATATGTAAGAATAAGTTACCCTCGCAGACAATTTTTCACAAAGCCTACCAAAATTTATCTTATCACTGCTTCGATATTGCCTCTGATTTTAATGTCATGTGTAGACTGGTCTAGGTCGTTTTACACAATAGTATACGATATACTATCCTATATACAGGTTTACTAAGTACTAGGAAATAAATTTCTTCGTAGTTAGTAATCAAATATTATGAAATTGTTGGCAATTAAGATATAAATTATGACGTTTAAATACGTAGAGCTGGTAAACATAGCCCACGCCACCGAATACATAATAGTTGCCCATAGAACAGTAAAAAAATATAATTATTACCATGCTTATCACGATAAAGACCAAGTAGTAATTTACACACTCAAAACTAATCCTTGTTGCTAAACGATTAAAATTTGTTTTGACACAATTGCCATGCCGTGATACTGCATTTTGTACCGCGTAGTGAGGGGCGTGCCAAGTGCTGGGTGTGTTGAGGTCGGACCGTTGAACTCGCAACCAATACCATATTGTTTTACTTATTGTTTATTATGAAAGCAACACTTTTTCTATACCAAATGTTTTGAAATTTTACGCCAATGTTACAAAATGACTGACTCATCATCACTCTACCAAGACAATCTATTTCTAGTAAAAATGAAAAAAGACATTCTTAAAAATGGTATATATGATTTTGTATAAAAAAAAACAGTGACATTTTCTACCATAAATACGGTATTTTTGAAAAATCATTCCCGAAAAAAAAATGAGCAGTGTCGGTAGCAGGCGACGTAATCTCCATATATGGTATAATGAAGGGAATCTTGTTCTTGAAGTCGTTTTCGTAAAATTTTAGTCAACCGTAAACAGTTGTAACAGTTCTTTTCGTATTCTATATTAGTTCTAAAATAAAATTAAAATATTTGATTAATTTAATTATGTTCATACTCCACAACGAAATAATTAATTTCCAATATATTTTTATAGCACACGGCAAAGCTGATGATAAGTGATTACTGCCGACCACAGATAATATAATATTACATACTGCCGACCGACAGTATGCTGTTCTTTACCAAATAAATTGATACCTAAGTATACTAAGTAGATACTGTATTCTTACCGCGACTTTGCCTAAGAGATGACCCCATTGCCATTGCCATACAGACAGTATACTCTCTCTCCCGGCGTCAACAGCCAAAACGTAACTACCGCCGTTCTGTGTAAAAACATTAAATTAGTATTAAAACACGCACGCTGTAAGCTAAGGGCTGTATTTATATTCAGGTTTGTTGTGTGTATACATAGGTATTTATTATATTAAAAGTAATTTGCAGACATAAATAGTATAAAATAATGAATAATAAAGAGCAAAACAATAAATTAGTATGTCTGCAGAAAAAGTATTTTATTTTCCCGCGCAAACATAATACGCCACATATGCACAATATTTGCACGGCGCGCAGCCGCAGTGGATGACGAGTGCGTCATAGCTGTAAGCGCGGTGTTAATACTACTATGATTATTAACACACGTGTTATTTCTAGATAATAAGATACATAGTGTGGATTTATATTAATTTAATGTCTAATCCTTCAGAACCAGACAGCCATTAAATTGGTTAATTAAGTAGGTAATTAGATTACTTAATATTTATGGTCTCACTATTATTAATGCTAATACTACTATTAGTAAGCTTAACTAGCAATGTTGCTGTTTTAAAACATAAGGATCTAAATAAAAAAAAATATTTTGTTCATTTTAATATTATAATATATTTGATTCGGAGTCCGACGAAGAAAGAAAAACCAGTTTTGATTTTTGTAACTCTTTAAAAATAATGCATTAACAACTGGATTTTATTTTCAATTTATTACAATTCTCTACTATTATTGATCTGTGTAAGACGGGGGTTGTAGTTTTGATATGTATGAGCTTTGATATGTATTTTATGTTATTAGTCTTACCAGTTGAGAGAATGCGACAGCAGCGACGCCTGCCTCGAACTCCGCCATTCCAAACACGTGCAGTGTCTGCAGCGTGTCCGTACTCCAGATGCGCACGTGGGCTTGGGCCCGGCGGCCGCGTCCAGCTCTCTGACCACTGGCCACCAACTCTCGAGACGGATGCAGTTCCATGCTACGAACATATTCAACTGTGTATATATCTCTTAGTTACTTATTTTTTAATATTTCTGAACAATTCACACAACGCTGTCTAGTGCTAAGACAAGCTGAGCTTGTGTTATGAGTACTAGACAATTAATATAAATATACAGATATATTTTTTAAATACATACATATTATACTTAGATTATTAGTACCATGCGAGGAATCGAAGCCGCGACCATTCGAAGCAAGACGGTGTCCTAAACCGATAGTTCACCGAAATTTATTAATTTATTCGATTAATTGTAACTTGCTATTGATTTTTTTTATAGAAAAACACTGTAATCGGAATGTAAATAACTCTTTAGATTATGACACTGATGTTGTCGATTTAATTGTTTATAAAAAAAAGCGTTAAAATAAAAATCGTCAGCACAGTTGTGATTTTGTTGCAGGTGTCCCATTACTATTTGGTTAATAAAAACAAAATATCTAATTATCTGTCAAAATAAAATAATGCATAAATATCTAAACATGCCAAATGAAATCTAACACATGTATTATGACGAACATATTGATTTTAATAGTAAACTACACCAAACAGGACTCTATAGTTTTAATTTTAAAGTTGTTTTTTATTATTTTTCAGTAAATGCGTTAGAGATACGACGTGTTCATACCACTGTATATCCTCGGTGTGTCCAATGTAGTGTCTTTGTGATTCCTCTTCCCTGTCGTACATCACAGCAACTGCGGCGACATAGTACAGGAGCTCGCCGGTCGGCAGCACCCACAAGTTGCGACGGCTGTCTGAACCGCGGTATCCATATCTGCATAAATATCAATATATATACAATATTATATGTATATTCTATAGTTATTTTAGTATATTAGTAAATTTGTCACAGTTCTCGCTATTACCCCATAATACTTTCTGATTATATCCTAAGGTTAGCTGATAGAGAATGCCATTAAGCTCTCCTGTTGAACAAAAGTTTTTGTTCAATAAAGAATAAATAAATATATATATATTGACTGGTCAACTGGGAGAAAATGACTCAAGATATTATAGAAATTAAAATTTTGTGAAAATTGAAATTGAAATTAGAATTTTTGTGTATTTGTGCATTGAAGTTTCAATACTTACACCCAGTCAAGTTGCATTTTCTTCTCCGGTGGGGAATTGTCGATAGGTGCATGGTGGATGGGAGGATAGAAGGTGCGCCGGAGACCACGGATTGTGACACGAATCGGTTCCTCCTTCAGTACTTCTAGTAGGGTGTAGTCTGTTGAAGATACTATTAAATACACAGTCACTTATTTAAATACAATTACCAAAAAATTAGTACATACATCTTAAATACGTTCTTATAATTTTGTTTATTTATGAACTGTCTCGTCTTTATGTCTATGTATAGTCTCGGTACCAATGAAGATCAGTTGACAGGAATTCCGTCATTTGACCCTGAATCTACCTGGCTTAACTCTTAGCTTACGCTAGTAAGATGAGTTTATAATTGGTATACGGTTACAACAATATTGGAATACGAGACCTCAGCTTTATTAGTAAGACTAAAGAGACAATAAACGCTACTATCGTAAAATATTATCTATAACTATAGATTATATATTAAGATACCTAACTATACAGATTACATTATATAGTATTTAACCAGGTAAAATATTGAATATATTTGTCTCAAACATTTATATTACGTATATTGATTTTTTTATACTACGATGGTGGCAAACAAGCGTACGGCCCATCTGATGGTAAACGGTTACCGTAACCTATGGCCGCCTGAGACACCAGGGATATTAGTTGCGCGTTGACGTCCATAATGTCATTATACAGTTTAAGTATTTGTACCTGAATTGCGAACAATTTCCCCCTCAGGCGCATAAAGTACTCTGGGTCGACTTTTGCTGCGAGCACGCCTGCCGCGCATGTCTTCAGACGCCGGTGCTGCAGCTACGTTTGCTCTGGACCGAGATCTACAAAAATAACGGACAATCTAAACAAAAAGGTATTGTGCAGTTAAAATAAATGGTATGACACTACAATACAATTATCCTTCTAAATAGATATCTTATTTTTTCCTGAATACCGGTTTGTTTACGTATGTATTCCCGCATTCCAATAAAATAGTTAATGAATTAAAAACCTTATAGTAACTTGCTTATACTCATGATTACAAATCAGAGATTCTTGTATGCAACTTTTTAAACGAATACAAATGATTCTTACTAGTTTTTTACTCTTTTGCATTATTTTCTGTAAAGTTTAGAAAATGTGTGATAATATTACATGTAGGTAGCAAAATATTTAACATAATAGGTATGTATGTGTCACTTTACTATGTTGCTTTATTTGAAAATATAACATTTGAAGTACATATGTATTTATTGTTTATTCTCGCTTTGATACTTAATATTAGTGAAGACGATGAGATTTTATGTTTATCTATAATTGTTACCTTCTTATCGGTGATTCTATTGGAAGCATCGGAGCACTGGCTCCAGGGGTAAGTGCTGGAGCCACAATTACGGAGCCCAAATAAAATGTCTCTACGTCAGCGAATTCGTTTCTTAGTTGTGAGAAACTCCTGACCTGTTAAAAGGATTAAAATTAATACATTGGAGCGCGACTGGGATCACAACACACATTGTGACGCCTCATATGCAGCGATTCATGAGGGCTAAGTTACTACACATTCGTATCGTGTAACTTAAGTACTTGTTTTTCAAGAAGGGTATATTACAGTTTCTTAAAGGTCGCCACACGTGACTCCCTAATGTTTCAAGCTGCTGCAATGACCGTTTACCATAGCATGAGCTATATGCTTGTTTGCCAATGTCGTAGCATATAAAACAAACTTCGCTGCTATATCTTGCTCTTCATTACAGATACACTTAAAAGTCACGCTGATAGTAGGTAAAACAACAAGAGTGATATCCATGCAGTTATATTTATACAAAATATATCTCTGTTCATTATTACAATAAAGAACACTAATTAATATTAGTGTTCTTTTTTGTAAATAATGGCCGCTAAAATTCTATTACATTAAATACATACTTTTGTACCATATTTTATTTATCAATAAATCAATAATATAAATAAAATTAAAGCAATTATTCACCTCTTGTCCTGTTATAGTGTACATCCTTTTTGCGCCACTCATTTTTAGTACTTGCCCTAAATCTTCTAGTACTTCTTCAAACGGTTGCGTAGTACGTAGATTCAACAGAACACGACACTGCAATATACTTTGGTAAAATATATTGAATACTGAGCTGAACAAGTAAGATTCTCATTGATTTGTAGAAAAATATATATTACTTAATAGATTTATATTATTTTATGATCAAATTGGTGGTTCGCACAGAATATTTTTGGTACCTAATAGAAATCCATTAAGAAATGAAATGGACTTATGAAAAATAACACCTCGTTTGATAACCGAGAAATATATTCCTTAAATAACGAAATGAAGTTCCGCAAAATAACAGCTTATTTGATAAATTATATCTATGTAGTATAGCATAAGTCAGATTAGACTCTATTTTACAATAATTCAACAAAATAACCACAACCTCAAGGGCAATGTATCTAATACCATAAAGTAAGTTAATCGGACTGTTCATTAATAGAAATAATAACATTTTTCATCGTGAAAATGTACCGAATAGACAGACAGACACACTTTAGCACTGATAATATCAGTATGGATACCGTAAACAATATGTGCTAATATTTGCATGACCTCAAAAAATACTTCTATGTGAGTTACTTCGGCAATCGAAACTCCACGCCGATGTTTATTTCCAAGGCCCTAGCAATGAAAGACCTATTAGAACAATGAGCGGCTTTGGATGGATTACTGGTATTTTCCTTGTGGCGTTTACGTTAATTTCATGAACAATTTTCGAGGGAGATTTTTGTTTAACCAAAACTAGTATGTTGTACCTACCTATAGTTTAGTGGCGTTATATGTAAAATGCACTGTAATAAGTAATAAATTTATATTTTTCAGAAAACAAACTCACAACGTGTTTGTTTTTAACCTACTATTAGAAGGAGGTTCTCATGTTTTATGGAAATACTATATATATTATATTCGTCAAGACTGAACTAATTGAGATCATTCTTTTTTTTTAATAGAATGAATATAGTTGAAAAACTATTGGTAGTTGTAGGTATTGGTAGTTATATAATATAATATCACTATTTTTGAGTTTTTATATCTTTCTGTCAAATGTATTTTAACGTCATTACTACTTCCAATCTTGAAATGTTTTGTTACCTTTGATATATAATATATTAATTAATAATAATTGGATTAAAACAAAGTGAAGAACCATTCCAAAATTATATTAATTATTACTATAGGTTTACAATAATTATTCGATTTAGAAATTGTGTGTCCATTTACAAAAGTTTGAAAGTATGCAAAATTGCTGTTCGAAATTTAAATTACATGCTATTTGATTCGTCTCAGTCCTCTTGGGGTCATGTTAGGTCACGGCTGAGTGTAGCGTTTTCATTCTGTATATCTAACAGTTAAATGGGAGTGGTTCTGTGCCCCATATCATTTCGTAATCATAGTGCGGCAATGAATTCGCATTTATGGATATCATAACCTAGAATTATGATAAGAGAATACCTTTTATATGAATTGATTGCTAAAAACTAGGATTTGGATGAATAAATACTGGCCCACGTTCATAAAAGCAAACGCTATTTGATATGGTAGTGTGAAAAAGTTGATAAGTTTTGAAAAAATTCTAATACTACTGTAAATTTAATTAAATTGGGTTTAAGTACTAATTATTCGTAGGTTGATGGAGCCGTTAAGCGATTTTTGTTAATATTTTACAAATATAAATTGTTTACTAATATAATATGAATATATATATGTAGATACATATTATATATCTGAATTAAATAAATAAAATTATTTAGTTTGATGAAATAATATTTACCTATCATTTTTTGAATTTATATTTTTTTTACATCTTTCTAATTTGTTCTTTTATGTATACCACAGTTGTTCCAATACTATAAATGCAGAAGTGTGTTTGACTGTCAATCTAGATCTTTATTATCTTTTCAGGGCTAAACGGCTGAAAAGCATGAAAATCGTTTGTAATAAGAGGACGGACATGTACTGCCTACCATAGAGATAAATAGGTAGCACCTGGTATTAAAATAAATTCGTTACTATGAAATATTGTTCTCACATTAATATATATTTTTCATTCTTACTCTGACGAAAGACTATTATCTATATCTATATACATATGACTATTTTCTTCTGTCAGCGATAAAAGAAAATAATCACATTAAGTTGTTAGCCCCGAACTGTAACCTGTATAGAGTGGTCCATGTTGTTGATGATTCTGATAACGCGACCACTGGCGGGTTTGCCGCCGCCTGGTGGAGGAGCATCAGATTCTGCCACTGACTGTTTCCTGGTGCCTGCCCGTGACCATCCCCCGCCTGCACCAGTAACTACACCTGATGTACCTCCGTACCACATGCCGTTCTTCTTTCCGTAACTTGCAGCCTATGAGGAAGACAGATTATATATGTACTATATGTAATAAAATAATATTAAAAAATATTCTAATACAATAAAGATTTTCATAAATATATCCTCACATGATGTATTGTCAAAGGTCATCGTTATGGTGAACGCAATTCCATGACATGCCCATATAGAAACAATATTATAATAGTAAATATATTATAGTTGAATGTAGGTCGACTTCTCCCAGAGTTTCATATTTTAATAAGAGAAAATAAAGAATTTTACAAAATTGTTTAAATAAATAAGTTGGTGAGCGTTGCCTTTACTAGAGTATAATTTAGAGGATTATTTTATTTCACAAAAAAGTTAAGAAAAAAAGTATATGAACAAATTTTACCTTAATAATCCTGAATTAACAGAAACCCAGATGAATACCAAATTTAAAACAGAACAGTACATTTATAATCAGTTTTTTTTATTTCATATACTTACGTATGGCTAGATTTATCTATTTCTCTTTTCTGTTTCTGGTTAGTTGTGAAAAAAGAACACGCATAGAAGTATTCTCAGTGCAATATACTTATGCGCAATAATATAGAAACTACTGTGAAATATCGAATAAACATATGTCTATTCTACTCTACTATTGATTAGTACTAAAATAATAGAAAATATATTTATACACTAAACATTCTCATGACTATAACCTCACATAGTAGTCACAAACATGGTCTAAACGCATCGTTATATTTAACGCACTTCCCTAACATGCTCCTCTATATTTCGCTAGGAATATTAACCTAATACTAATTTAAATATAACTTATATTACAGTGTATCTACAAATAATAATAAATAAATACCAACAGTTATTAAATAGGTAAATCAAAGTAGGTAGGTATAGTACCTATATACAGATAGGTCAATTTTGATATGAAAATGTTTTGTAATGAAAGCGTTTATTGGCTGGAGCATTTGCCAGATGCAGTAGAATACGTGAAGGTCTGCAAAATGGTGCCCCTGACACAAATTCACAGGTTTGATGAAAAGTATAGGCATATAGCGTATAATTGTAGTGTTTCAGATTGTATTCGGAAAATATATACACACGTATGTATACATGCATAATACTAATATACTATAGCTACGGTAACTTGAAGCAGTGTTTAATATATATATATTACTATCAATAAAGTGATATAGGTTCAGGTACCTAAATGCAAGGACAAAACAAAGATACGTATTACAAATTACAAAGTATATTTTATACAATTCCATATAATTATATATTGCTATAACTATATAATATAAATCGTGCAGATTCGTGCATACAAATATGAATAGCAAATACCGATAAAAAACCGGTCACAGTTTTCCTTACTATGTCATATGCAAATTGGTGAAAAGATTCCGTTTGAATTCGCGCCATGTGTCGACCACGTTAAATGCTGTTTTCAGCTCCATTCGGAATTTTATAGTTTTACGAGGGCAAATGACTCGGGTTCCGTATAGTACGTGGATCGTAAAGAATTCTAGCAAATACACCATTTAACCCAGTCTATAGTGGTGAAAGTTGTTTTATTAGGCCTCTTGCATTTTGAAGTTTTTTACTTTAGGTGAAACTAAAGTTATGTACATGTTTCATTAAATTTCGCTTACAAAAAATATATAACAAGACTTTATGAAGTTACTACATGTTTATATCAGTCTTAAAATTATTACAATAATATTACACTATCATATACCATAATAAGAAATAAATTACTTCGAATACCTAAATGTTTGCAATAACTCACCATTATAGTAACCCTCAAATCTTCAGCACTATTGTTAATATATTTAATACTTATTCGCGGTATTTTGGCAATATTGTCCAATGGACAAGCACCCCGTCTTGCGACTGCTCGGCCACTGCTCGTGTAAACAAAGCAAAGTCCAAATTATTCCGAAGTCCTTGGCCGATGGTACTGACCGTCTGCCAAGGACACCTCTTATCGCCTTAAGTCTGTGCGTGCAATTAGAATGCCTCACCCAAACTAATAGACCTTCCCAACCCTCAGCGACGATGACTTTCGTGTTAGCGCTACGTTTTCTATAAGGGCCCAGTTAGACTGGTCGAAAATACTCGTACGGTTATCCACGTGCGGCCGAGGGAATATACGTCGCTAGCGAGGTCAAGTCTCAAATTGCTGCATAGCTATACTGCGGTGTTTTTGAAATTAATATGTCTGAAAATGTTGGTCATTTTGTCGTTTACTTTTAAATTATTGCCGTATCAGTGTAGCGGAAGTCAAGAAAGTTGTTTTGCGTAATTTTTGTATAACAAAAGCTAGCAATTTAATAGAACTAAACTAGAGCTCAACCCTAAATTTTGTACTAGGTTTTATCGTACCTGTACATTATACGCATTTGCAGAACTATATACACTGTTAACAAATTAAAAAAATATATATTTCCAGTGTTTCTGTTAATGCGTATCTTACTAATACATTTAAGGTTTCCTGCAAATTATATGTAATTAGTAACTAATTTGTAATTAATATTTTTGACACTGGCATGTTAGTGTTGTGATGAATTAATCGTAGAAATTAATTAAAACGATAAAAATTTAATTGTTATAAATGATACCTACATATAAATACAACTTTTTAAATTATATTTTAACTGTAATAATAAAAGTAAGCAAAAAAATATTTTTAACATGAAGCTAAGTTTCAAGTAGACTAAATAGATCTTATATTACAGATTATATATATGTTTATTTATTATAATAATCACAGCCGTGTTATAATTAAAGTCTTAAATTAGCATATAATTAGCCTATATCTACGCAGCGTTGGATATTAGGTCAGCACACGCAAAACATTTGAATATTCACATTTGTAAAAACATCAAGTTATATAATTGAATGTAAATATACAAGCCATTATGTTACACTGTTTTAAATTGAATTCATAAATCATTAATAGCGAGGTCGAAAGTACTGTAATAATTGTATTCTTTTAGGTCATTTTATTACATTTAGTTCAAAAAATTTAACAGACTAGCGGAACGATAAAAAATGTGTCAATGTCATAAGGATTTAACACGATATGGTAGCATATTCTAGAACAGCGTTTTCCAACGTGGGCCCTATGCACCATAAATTGTTTGGTGCATAGATTGTTAAGGGAGGCAATTCGAAAAAGAACTCGACAGGAGTTTAACACTTTCACTCCGGGCCATTATTCGTTAAATTTGCCACTGAAATCCAGTATAGCCTTTAGTAGATTTCGGTGGCAGATTTAACGAATAAAGCAAATTTTTAAATAAAATATAATAAATTAATATACACTAATCTTTATTAAAATCATTTGGAAATGGAATTTCAGGTTTTCATTATATTTTTTGAAAATTTATTTCGTTAACAATTTCCAATTAATTCTGTTACAATTCCTTTGTTATTTTTCTTATATACCTATAATTTCATTTTTAACTCATTATAAATAAACTTAAATCGTTTCAGCTTTTTAATATAAAAAAATATATAGGAATGACTATAAAATAAAGAGCATAAAAAACTTACATTAAATTATTCTTCTGAAATTCTTTTTCATAAAATAAATTAATTTATTGGGTATTACCACTTTATATTCAATGATACAAATATATCTACCGTTTACTTATATATTTTATAGAAAGATAACTTATTAAAAAATAATTAAAAAGCATTCAGAAGAATAATTTTAACATAAGTTTCTTTTCTCTCAATTTTATATTAATTAAATCATTCTTCTTTAAGTCACCAATGAAATATCAAGAAGAAGACTAATAATCAGTACCGTATACTCACAACTGTCTGAGGTATGTAGACTGGCAGGGACACGACGATGAATGGCGAATCTTCGTCACTGTCCAGCATGGAGGAGTCAGCCGCCTGGAGCCAACGCAGCCGGCTTGGTCGCCACACCTTGATGGCTTTTATTTACCACTTGTATCAACACACGTCTATTTTTTGTCCATACGTCCATATATTTCCTACTATATCTTTATTTTAATTAGGTAAAGTTATATAAATTATAGAAAATGTGATTGTATTACATTATAAGACAAACTTATTATATTCATAGGTTTGTTTATTGGATATGAATGTAATGACGGCATAAGAAAAATAGTGATGTATTTAGAGTTATTTTTATTATATTTTTCAGTAACAAACAGCGTCAATGACATCTTTTAAAAAAAAGCGAATAGTAGGTATTTCGTACATTAATAAGATTTGTATGTATTACAGTAATAATGATATTAGTGATCTAATTAATACTATTATTTATGAAAGAGGGAGTAGAATACTTTTTGTAGGATATAGACTTTTCCCAACGCTGGCATACATATTTTTTTTTCATTTCATTCTATCCACAAATAAACGATATACCGGATAGACAGTGTGACATATTGAAGACTGTCAAGTTGTTCACAATGACTTTAATTTGATTTTGAAATAAATTTTATAAAGTATACAAAACATATATGTACAGCAAGTACTTGTAATTCCTGTGTTTTATAATAAAACCAGATTTAAAAAGAAATTCATAGATTATGTTCAAAATTCAATTTATCGATAAAATATTTTTATTGTATATCTCTCAATCTCTCAATTAATTATTACGCAATTTAAAATGAAAATATTGCAAATGTCATCAGCGTTCAGTGGCTTGAGTCAAGTTCAAGTACCTACAGTGACAGACCGCAGTCTTCGTGCTGGCATGCAGTTAGGTTTTGCATAACGCGACAATGCATTTGCATACGGTGACGTCTATCCGGCCCTCTATCCGATCAAAGGGCGATTTACATAAACCCGCCGTGGAGATTATGTGATTTGCGCTGAACGTGTGCGATATGTGTCCTTTAATTAAATATGACTTTAGTTTGCTTCTATTTGTTATCTGCGTACTGTAAAATGCTTATTTCAATTGGTTACTTTAATTCAACTTTATGAATTAATCTACTATATTTCAACTCCATAATAAAGTCAGTAATAAAGGATATAGGGTATTT